ATAAAAATAGCCACATTTCTTTGATTGCAAACAGTGATGCCAAACTAGATCATTTATTGTATTAAGAAAATAGAGCTTCAAATGAGTTTTGGCTGACTCCCAATGGGATTAGCTGTTACCAAGTAGAGCTAAACCACAGTTAAGAATACACAATTCAACTTGCTACAGGTCCTATATGTTTTTCTAAATTGGGTGGTCACACATATTTTGATTTATGCAAGTGTCTTGAGATATGAGTTTAATATTTTAATGTAATTACTGAGAGAACTAACTCTTGAATCTCCATTTTGTTTACAAGCCAATGTAGTTGGCTTGTATTTGATACAAACATGTATTTGATTCTTGTTATAAAGATGTATGGAGACTGTATGCTATATAACGCAAGCCTTTTATGTATTAAATACTAATTGTCCTCAGATGAAATACTTCTTTCTGTTAGATATCAGAATATCATACTTTGAGTAATTCAGAAGTGAATTGAGATAGTAGTCAAAACTGAAAAGCAATCAAGTATTACAAAAACACTATTATTTTCTTCTAAACGATTATAATAAAATTTACTTTTTCTGGCAACAGATTTGTGAATATGCCATGAATTTTTCTCTAACTGGAGAAACTCATGCTTTTCATACCCTAAAACTCTGAAGGAAATGATGAAGAACAAAATGACAAATATTAATGGAAATGTCAATTGCTCTGAGAGAAGGAAAGAATGTGGCCTTTGGTCAAAAACTCTAAACTGGTAGGAGGGGGAATATGGGTCCTCTGGCCGTGTACTCCTACATCCTTAATGCATTTAGGCAAGGTAACTTATACTCTCTTTAGTTGTTTTAAAAGCAGAAATTCTCGTCCCGATTGAATTCATCGTTGGCCAGTTTATAAAATATAAATGCCATTAAAAAATTGCTTAAGTCATCAGTAGCAGGTATACTTAACCCCGACTACAATAGCAAATTTTCTTTGTTCCATTCTATTTTCCTGGAAAAAAGGACATATTGAATGGAGTTATAGATTTGAGCTAATAATTCAGTGCATGTAGCCAGTCACGCTTAAATTTTTGCCCATTTCTTTTAGGACTCAAAATAGTTATTGATGCCGAGCATCCAATTTTTCTATAAGGACCATATTTCTTTCATATTGAAGAGTATAAGTAATTTTTCAAATATGCAGAGCATGAGAAGAAGCTTTGCTAGGTGTTGCACATATGAACAAAATAATCGCATGTGTTTTATGGCATATATTCTAGAAGGCTAGAGGTATAAAGGAGAGAAATCTTCAAACAGCTTAATGTTACACATAATAAAATTGAGGTCCACAGAAATAAAGTAGTATAGTAAAATTAACAAATGTATATATTTAAGTTGAAAAAGAAGGCATGGAGACTTTAAAAATAAGCCTGAAAGATAATAGAGATTGCTTATGTTTTGAAGTGTAAGTAATTCAGGGTTTGAAATAATACGTCTAAAATTCAAAACATGTTATTTTGTTTAAATCACCCAAGTCCTTTAGGATCTGTTTTAGTAACCTGACTGTTTACTTTAGAGCGTCCTGCAGATGTTATACTCATTTAAGTTTGTAAATGGCAAAATAACCACCTTTTTAAAGTGGAGCAGCATCCACCAGGGAATCATTCACTTACGGAATGGTCACTGAGACCTGGAGACAGGCTACTTATTTGATGAATAAAATCTATTGTCCTTCATGCCATTTATCTTACAGTTTTCAAGAATCTTTCACTCATTGTAATAAATTTTATCGTAGGCTTTTAGGTCTGATTCAAAATCCACTTGTATAGGGAAGTTCTACCCCTACATAAAGTCTTTATAAGACCCAGGGCTATCATAAAATAGGTTTGTGTATGTAAATCACAGGGCAATTTTATCTCATCCTCATATCCAACAATAACACAGAAATATCTGTGTTTTGAAACTGGAAAAGCCATATGCTAAGGAATTACAGAGCAAAGAATTAGAAACCTCTAAATTTGTACTAGATAGAAGAGGGAAAACACAGGAATTGCTGGGGAACCCATGTTCTATTTAAAATCCTTTCTACAGTTACAGAATCTCTATAATTAATTTTATAACAATTATCAAGTATAAGCCCTCTTAGAAATCTTATGATGTAAAGATAGAAAGACAAAAGCAAATTTGTACTCATTAATAAAACAAAATGTTTGATTAAATTGATAAAATAAAGTATTCATGATTTTAGTTTATTTTTTGTTGAATTTATTAATAATCTTCAAATATTTATATATGTATGGCTTTGAGCAAAGACAAAAGAAATACTCTAACTTGTCCCTGAACATACAGTTTTAAGAATCAGCTATCCAACTATTTTCCCAGCAGCAGGAAGACCAATCTTTTCAATAATACATTTCTTTCTGTACAGATTAAAACTCCATACTCATGGGCTTAACTATGTACAGAGAAAAGAGGTCGCTTTTCAACTAGCAATTGACTTTCATATTACATGAATGTGAGTCAATTTTTTCTTAACCTAAGCATATGTATTCACACATATATATGTATTAACTTACCCTGTACCATTTTATTAGTTTAACATATAAACCTTAGCTTTTTGTCCATTTTATTACAAAGTGAATAAAAATTTTATGGTTGCACTGAAAGACCATGCAATTCAATTCTGTTTATGTTTCCCAATGGTGTTCAAAATAAAAAACCAAAAATTTATATATTATATATATAAAAATATTTCACTACCAAACCCATTAGTCCTATCAAATGTAAACTTTTAATAATTTAAAGGGCTAACACATGATCTTAATGAATTGAAGTTAATTCTCAATCTTTTAATAAAATAAATGAGTTTTGTACTGAAATGTAAATGGTCTTGCAGCTTTCCCATAGGTTCTAGGTAGACTAAACAATCCCTTTCTCACACCATTCCTGACATGCCATCCATGTCACCAGCATGTTAACAATAACATTACGTTGACTAGCATTGTTGATCGCCTCCACACAATCTGCAATCTGTTAGAAATTAAACAGAACAGCTCATTTTGGTATTATATTTTTCCATAAAAGGCATAACAGGCAGCATGGATCCATGTTAGAGTTTTTACTTTTGTTTTTGTATTCTGTCTTCAAGTCTATCTGGAGGCCCTCCCCATTTAATGTGTGATCTCTGTTAAGTTCTCTCAGACGTATCACCAGTGTCAACAATACTGCAGACTTCCACTTTAGGTCATTGTCTTAACTTGGATTATTTACAGAAGTCAGTTATTGGGAATCTTCCAATTGTGTTCCAGTCATCCACCACATTCGTGGGATGCATTAGGCACAAATGATTGCTAAGGGACTCCTTTAAGAAGAAGAAGAAGCTCACAGATCATGGAAAGAGTTAAGGAAACAGACAAATAAACAAACAAACAATGCTCACAGACATTCAGTTTGACCCCTGCTTCTGTCGCCAGGTCTATACTTTTTTCAGCTCTTTTAAAATAACATACCTCCTATCTAAGGGCTATGTTAGTCACCACATGCCTTAAGTTTTACTAACCATTTGGTTAAAACATACACAGAGCAAAGTGTGTGTCCCAAACAGACATGATGCTATAGTGTATTTATTTCTTTAAATTAACACCACTGTAAACTACCAACTACAGTGAAGACAGAACACACCGGCAACTTCAAATCAAGCTGTGGTTTACAAATCATTATTTAAATAATAATAATAATAATAATAAAAACAATAATAGTAATAACATTAAATGAAAGTGAAAACCTCACTTCTAGACTTAAGTCAGAGATCCAAGTCAGCCTTATAGGAATTTTAAGATAG